CCTGTCTGGATGGACAAGAGAAAGTCCCTGGCCTCACTAGGTCATCAGTCTGATCCCTTGCACCTTCATGAACACTCAGACTGGGGGAGCCCCTGAGGCCATTCACCCAAGACCTGGAGAGCAATGCTGAACATTCACTGTGGCCACCCCGCATTTGGCTCTTTTCCAGTGTTTGGGGAATCATCCCAGTTTAGGAGGATGATGATGAGGAGGACCCTCTCCCGGGTTGGCTCTAAGAATGCCTCCCAGCCTCCCAGGCATGTGATCTGCTTCTAACCATCAGATGTCCCCATGCCTGATTTGGACTCAGTAACTGGCACCCATAAGAGACAAGGAATAGTACGAGATAGCCCTTAGGCAGTAGGTAGCAAAAAAGGCTGCAAAGACAAGTGGTTAATCTAGAAAGAGCTTTTAGGTGCGGTGGTAGCAATAGTGATTTATTCAATTGGAAGCTCAATCTCTGGCATGATCTCCAGCCCTCCTCACAGCTCTTTGGACTGGTCTTTGTGTGGTCAATAAATTATTTTTCTGGGTCACCATAGGCAGTCAAAGATTTTGACTGATATCATAGTTGTGGGGGTTGGAAGCATCAGAAGGAAACCTCAACCTTAGTGTACTTGGAATGAAGTAGTCTGGGCTCTGTTTGCAGAGACTAGCTGCAGGGAATGTGGAGCCCAATAAAACATTCAGACAAGCAGACATAAGGTCTGAAAGCCCATGGTTTTACAACCCTCCTGATAGGAAGTAACTTGACAAGATTTCTGTGCTCCTGGGACTCATCGTCTAAAGCAGGTTGGGTTGGGGGAATGGAATGGACAGAAACCAAGCCAGTAGAAATGTCTAATGGGAGCACTCACAAAGCAAAGCAGTCCCAGTGACCACACCTGTAATCCCAGCTACCTGGGAGGCTCAGGCAGGAAGAGCACAAGTTGGACGCCATCCTGGGCAGCTGAGAGAGAGCTTGTCTCAAGATAACAGTGGAAAGACCTAGGGATGTCGTTCAGTTGTAGAGTGAACTGGAGCCTGATCCTGGTAGTAGGAACAAAACCCTAAACATGAGCTGGAAGGATATGACTGAAAACAGTGCGAAGTGTTCCTGGAGAAAGTACCTTAAATGCAGTGTCCATCCTTCCTCACATCATGGCATATGCAGAACTGCTGACATTGAATAGTACAGTAGGGTAAAATAGAAGTATTTGGAAATATCCAGGCTTCATTCTTTGTGCCTCAGCCTCAGGAGTTCCAGGATCACAGGCTTGGAGTATTGTGCCTGTTGATGACAGTCCTTCTTATGTGTATCAAAACTCATACTGCACAGCGAGTTCTGGATTGCAAAAGAAGATTTACTTCTTGCAAAGGAAGTAGCTGAGTGGCACAGCACCTGCCTGGCAAGTACAAGGTCCTGAGTTCAATTCCCGGTACTCCCCCGCCCCCAAAAAATCCAAAACCACACAGAAACCCCCCAAATTTATACTTGGTCATAATTCTTACTCCATAAGTTAGACAAAAACAGGTACAGAAGTGCCACAGAAATGTCTAGAAATGCAAGAAAAACATTACCTTTCTTACTATGTCATTATGAAGAAAATAAAATATATAATAATACAGATGTCTTTAAATACTAATTTTTAAAAATTTAAATTTTTTTTTAATTTTAAAGGGAATAAAAAATAAAATAACAACATAGACAAAAACAAAGCAAAAACAATAAAAATCATACAGGGTTTCAAAACAGAGTGATAGGAATTAACAGTTGTTGTTATATCTTCAGTGAAGTTGCTCAGATTACTAGATGTAAGAATATAAGACTGATCAAACCATTAAAGAGAATAAAAAATAATAAAAAAATTAGAAATAAGACAGAGTTTCACTAGACAAGAATTACCAGATATAAGCATGCAAAATTGGTTAAAAAATTAAGCATTAACTATTCCTTTCAAGAAACCATTAGACATCACCAGTACAATTATCCCAACTATCCTTGTATATACACATATATATATTAAATACTAATTTTTATATAAAACTTTTTCTAGAGTTTTATATAAAAACTGTCATTTCCTAGAAATTTCTTCCCAATCAAAAGCATTCCAGGTCCTTCTTGCCTCGAACAAAGAATTGAGCCACACAAGCCAAAAATGGTTCCACAAGTTTATTTGAAGATTGAGGAGTGAATGCGTATGGGAGAAACCAGCTCTGCAGCTCAAACTTGGGCCGAACAAGAGAAAAGAAGATAAAAGCAAGGGCCGGGGATATATCTCAGTGGCACAGTGCCTGCCTGGCAGGTGCAAAGTCCTGAGGTTTTTTTTTTTTTTTTTTTTTTTTTCTTTTAGAGACAGGGTCTCACTGTGCAGTTCAGGCTGGCCTTGAGCTCACTTTGTAGCCCAGGCTGGTCTCGAACTCCCAAGGATCCTCCTGCCTCAGCCTCCCAAATGCTGGGTTTACAGGTGTACGCCACCATGCCCGGCAAAGTCCCGAGTTCGATTCCCAGGGAGGAGAAGGAGGAGGAGGAGGAGGAGGAGGAGGAGTGGGAGGAGGAGGAGATAAAAGCAAACAAAAAGTCCATGCTGTGTGTGAGAAACTTGGTGCTGGCCACTGTGGGAATTCATGATAGCAGCTCTGGTGGCATCCAGTACATATCTTGTGGGAGCTCTCAAAAAGTTCTACTATAGGGCCCTGGCATTGTCCTGGAATCTTGTAATTGACAGGTTTTGCTCATGTTTCTAGCCAGCTTTGCCATACCCTACCTTCTGTATTATTTTCGCCTGAGAGATGTAAATCCCATAAATCTTTAGGGGGTGCTGAGGATGTGGTCTCCGTCTTCTATAGCTTCTTTCAGCTAGAAGGGGCATAGACCTTCCCTACTGGGGATTACGTGTTCTCCAACTATTTTGGGGTACTGTGGCTTGTGGCTGGGTTGAGGGAAGAAACACTTACCAGAAAATAAAGAGAAAAGAGTGACCTTTGAGCTGCCTGTTTGACAAGAAAAAGAAACTTTACTATTAGCCCAGGTGTGAGGAGCAGGTCAGACTTCCACACTTTCTGTAGAGAAGAATGTATGTGAGAGAGGTATGTCTGATAAATTACCAAGAGTCTAAGGGCCATGGCCTTAGCAAGGTCATGTTTACTTATCTATAGCAGCCCTGGAACTTTACCCTTTAAAGAGAAATTTCAAGACTTATAGAGGTTCACAAGAGTAGCTTTTTTGAGGGGTAGGGGATGTGATCTTGTTTTTTAGACAGTTTAGGTGGGACTAGCTTTAATCTCGAAAGATGAATCCAATTATCTATCTCTGCCACCTTTACTGCAGTGAGTATAGCAAAGATTGCTGAAAAGGGGTCTTGTCATTTTGGCTTTAACTGGTGAGCTGGTGTTCCCTTTCTCCAAGTTTCACAAGCACTTGGTCTCCAGTGCAGACGCTAGGTGGTCTCCCTGGGCCAGGAGCTGACAGGACTCTGTTCCCATACATTTGGATGGTCTGTTGTACTTAGTACAGATTAATGAGATATTGTAAGAGTCTCACAGTCTGTGGGTCTAGCATCATATCAAAAGGTAGAAATGGCCTTCCTTAAACATCTAAAATGGGCTCCGACTTAGCACTGGGCATGTTACGAACCCCCATGAGTGTTATTGGTAGCAATCAGAGCCTGGACTCAGATGTTTCTTGGCAAAATTTTGTCAGAGCCCACTTTAGGGTCTGGTTGGCTTTTTCTACATTTTGAGAAGAAAGGCACTTTTCTAGAAGACTGAGACCACCAGGAGGAATGGAGGTGGTAACTCCCTGAGTTATTCGGAAGGTAAAAGAAGGTCTACTGTCACTCTGGAGAGGTGGGAGTAGTCCAAGTCTGGGGGTAATTTCTTTAAGAAGCACCTTGATGAACTCAGTTGTCTTCTCTGAACAGGTAGGAAAGGAAGGGCTTCAGTCCAGCCTATAAAGGTGTCAGTTAGGACCCACATTTGTTTAAATCCACTATGTGGTGGTTTATATGTAAGGTCTCTGGCAATCCTCTCCAGGTTCTGTCCCTCTCCTCTGTACAGGTTCTAATAAAGGAGCAGGTTTGGACTTGGCTGGGTTATTGTTTGCAGACCTGTTTGGTGGTTGTCACTAGTCCTAATCCTATGAAAACTTGAGGGACCATTTCTAATATAGCATCTCTTTTCATTTGGAAGGAATAACAAAGTGTTTATATTTTTCTTTTTTTTTTTTTTTTTTTTTTTTTTACAGCTTTCTGCTGTATCCACTGGGAAAGGACCAATTTGTTTCTTAAATACCACCAGAGTCCCTTTTGAATTTCTCCTTGTCTTTTTTTTTTTTTGTTTGTTTTTGTTTCTTTCTGGTACCGACAATTGAACTCACGACCTTGCACTTGCCAGGCAGGTGCTGTGCCGCTGAGCTAATTCAGTGCCCCAGCCCCTGAATTTCTCCTTGTCTTAAGGTCCATTTATCCAGCTGGGGGATATAGACTGGTTTTTAATGGCTCCTCAAGAATTGAGAATATGTCTGGAGTCTTAAGGGGCTGTAGGGATTTCCAAAAAGGAGCTGTAGGGCTTCCTATCAGCCTTTTGATTTCCCAGGGAGATTTCACACATCTCTCTGGTGTCCTTTACAATGCATGACTGCAACCTGTCTGGGAAGATGGACTGCCACTTGGAGTTGTAGAATCTCCTGTGTGTTATAGATGATTTTTTTTTTTAATGATTGTTTATTTGTCAGTAAGCCTCTTTCCTTCCAGATTGCTGCATGAGTGTGTAGCACCAAAAAGGCATATCTGGAGACTGTATAGGTGTTTAACTTCTGCCTTTTCCTAACATTAATGCCTAAATGAGGGCTACCAGCTCTGCCCTTAGAACAGAGGTTCCTGGGGAAAGAGGTTCAGCTTCAATGACTTGCTGTGAGCAAGTGCAAAACCTGGCACCACCCCCTTTGGGTATCAGGAATTGAACTCAGGAAGTTGTGTTTGCCAGGCAGGCACTGTTACCTGGTCTTTTGCTATCCTCAGACGAAGATACTTGCATTGGTGAACCATACCACCTGAGGATCTTGGAGGAGTAGGTCACTGATGTCTTACCTGCTTGCATAGTTCTGAGAGATTGCGTGTTCCCAAGACTGGCTAATCTTTGGGCCTATAGGCATAACCTCAGGAGTGTCTAAGAGCACAGCCTGATACTTGGTAAGCCGTCCCCCTGTTAACTGGGTTTAAAGCATTACCAGCTGTAACAGCTATAATCTTAACCTTTTTCTTTTCTCTTTCTCTAGGTCTCAATTATTGAATGTAGAAAGAGCCATGTCCAGCAATTGGGTTATAAGTATCTGAGGCCCCCTCTGAAGGTTTTGCAGTTTATGGTGACTACTTGGGGCTGACTGACAGATGAAATATTGACCCATTAGTGCCTCTCCCTCCATAGATCAGTCTATATTTGCAGAAGATCTTTGCTAATTGCTTATGGGACAAAGCTGGATTTTCCCTTGCACCCTGTAAGACCCCACTCACTGTGTCATAATTAACAGACTTTTAAATGCACCTTTTCTTTTTCTTTCCTTTTTTGTTTTGAGGCAGGGGCTCACTGTTCAGGCTGGCCTTGAGATCACTATATAGCCCAGGCTGGCCTTGAACTTGCGGCAATCCTCCTGCCTCAGCCTCCCAAGTGCTGAGATTATAGGCATGGGCCACCGCACTTGGCTAAACCCACTTTTCATCTCCATGATAAGAGCAGCTAGCATACTAGTCCATGCTGAGTATTGTAGTCCAGTTTGACTTTGTTGATAGGAGAGTAGCCGTTCCAGGGTGGTTTCCTTCTCTTTTCAAGGTATATTGCTAATCTGTATAGTTTCTAGCTTCTAGTAGGGCTCATTGATTTCATCTGGGGTACAGCAAGTGGCCAAGGTGAATTGAACATCTTGCTATGATAAACCAAAAGCAAGGGCCAAAGTTTGAAATCCATCTGCAAACTTGCTAGGGTCTTCTGACAGTTGCCTTAATCATTTCTTGCGCGGTTGGATATCAGCCACTGAAAAAGGAACCTGCACTTGAGTATTTCCTTCCATCCCTGCGGCTACTTTTAGGAGCAGGACAAGTTAGGAACCAGAGTAGTGGGAAACACCACTTCAGGTCTGACCTGCAGCACTTAACGCTGTCCGTGTGTACCCAGTGGGACTGTGGGCTGCCTGAGGAGGCTGCCGAGGGAGCTGAGGAATGTGGGTTCCTCCGGGGCACTGGGCTTTCATGGAGTCCCCTGATCATTTGGAGGGGATGGACCTGATTTATTGGTCTGAGACTTATAAGGGGGAGGTCGAGGAGACCTCTTAATGTGGTTATCTTTCCTAAATAGACCAGCAAGACTGAGATCCCCCTGAGAGACAGATGGGGGTCTTAGAATAGGGTCATCCAGGATATCTTTGTCTTCCTTGGGGCCCACTCTAGGTACCTTAGTTCTTGAGCCGTCCCTTTGATAAAGAGTTAGGAAGCCTGAGCATGGGCATTTCCCTTTACCCTGCATGCTTTAGGCGGAAACACCATAGCTGGACAACAGGCTCATAGTCTAAAGAACCATCCGGGACCCATCTTTGGCATCTCCCAGTTCATACTGAACCCAGACTATATTATAATAGTAGATAAGCTGTTCTTATTTCAAATTGTCAGGATCAAACCTGTCTCATTCATCAAGGATACGGCCTAGTGGCAAAGTTAGTGAAATCTGTGTAATGATGAGATCCGATAAATTTCCCATTTACTTTCTGGGGGCCTATAGAGAGGAGACAACTAGGCCTTTGCTACTTCAGGTGGCATCCCATGCATAAGGGGAGACCTGAAGTCCACCAGGTGCCCCCCCCCTTTTTTTTCCAGTACCGGGAATTGAACTCACGACCTTGGGCTTGCCAGGCAGGTGCTGTGCCGGTGAGCTAAATCCCCAGCGCCCACCAGGTGCCCCTTGTGAGACTTTTTTTTTGTTTTTGTTTTTTAAAATAGGGTTTCATCATGTCAGGCTAGGTTTGAACTCTATATAGGTTCAGGCTCCCTTGCACTTGCAGTGATCCTCATGCCTCAGCCTCCCAAGTGCTGGAATTATAAGCGTGTGCCACCCTGCCTGGCTTCCTTGTGATATTTTTACAAAACCTGGATAAACATCTTTGTTTTTTTTTGTTTTTGTTTTTTGCTTTTCTTCCAGTACCGGGAATCGAACTCACGACCTTGCGCTCGCCAGGCAGGCGCTTTGCCGCTGAGCTAAATCCCCAGCCCCTGGATAGACATCTTTATCCTGAACCTTAGAGCGTGCTGCTGGCATCATTTACCACAGAAGAAAACCTTTGCCTCCGTACTGGGACCCATTAATCCCTTAGGGACAAAGGGGCAGGCCATCTGTTGGCCTTGACTAGTCCAGATTGCCATGAGTAATGGCAGAACTTTCCCAAGTGCAGTTCTTTTAACCAACTCGTTAGACCCCACGATGGCCCAACTTGTATTTAAGACTCTTTTGAAGGTATCTTAGGTCCCTTGACTCTACTTAGACAGAGCTGAAACCCTGTGGGAAAACCTCTTGCATTTTCTCTGACAGAGAAAGTACTAAGGGTTGACATGGCTCTTTTTTTGAACACTCACAGTTACTTAACTTAGCTGTTCTTGTCAGGTATCAGGTTAAGCAGGGAAGCACAACAGCCAGGTGATGGCGGCTTCTAGGCGGTTCTTGGACCAGAGAGTGCAGTGCTGCTGGGGCTTGGTCGCCACCGACGCCTAGGACAAGTTTCATCTGAGTTCACATTCACACCCTGGAGCTGGGTAAGGGGTAACGCCCTGCCCAGACTGGAACCGCCCTCTGCTGCCCTCAGGCCTGCGTTCAGCCAGCTGTGCGCACCCGCATGTGTGGGAGGTGGGGCGGGGCTCTCCTGCAGCCTGGGCCCTTCCCTGAGATAATGGCTGCATGAGTTTTTCACAGGATAGTGCGGAGTTTGTATTTCTCGTAGGAAAAAAGAAAAAGTTTCTTCTCTTGTTCTCACAAGCTCATGTGCTATTTAAAATCAGAGGCTTGGCCGGGTGTGGTGGGGCACGCCTCTAATCCCAGCACTTGGGAGGCAGAGGCAGGAGGATTGCTGTGAGTTCAAGGCCAGCCTAGGCTGCATAATGAGTTCAAGGCCAGCCTGGGCAGTGGTGGTTGACTGGTTGATGCATGACCACACAGAAGCTATGCATAGATTAAAGAAGAGAAACAGAAGATAAAAGCAAAAGTAAACATACAGGCCATGTCTGAGAAACGCTCCCCGTGGCTTCTGGTCTTTCTTTGTGCTGTACACATCTTGTAGGTGCTCTCAAGTTCTACATGCAGAGTCCTGGAATTGTCCTGGAATCTTATAACTGACAGATCCCCCTCATCTTTCCAGCTGGCTTGGCCACTTTCTATATTAAGATGGTGTATTTCCAGCCCAAACCCATTGCATCCTGCCCTTAATAAACTGAAGAAAGGCAAGTTCATGTCTTGTCATCAGATCCTTCTGTTTTATAAGAATATTAAATACCTTGTACATTGTGGGTGGGAATGCAAACTGGTACAACCGCTATGGAGATCAGTATGGAGAGTCCTCAAAACACTAAAACAAGAACTTCCACCTGACCCAGCTATTCTCCTTCTAGATATCTTCCTGAAAGAGTTAAAGACATCACAGTACAGTGATCTACACATACTCATGTTTATAGCAGCACAACTCATAACTGCTAAATCCTGGAAGCTGCCTCTATGTCCATCAGCAGATGAAAGGATAAAGAAAGTATGATATTTACGTACAAGGGAGAACTCCTCTGTAGTAAGGAAGAATGTGAGTCATGTGTAGGAAAATGGATGCACCTTGAGAACATCACATTAAGTGAAACAAACCGGACACATGAGCTTAAATATCACATGGTTTCTCTTATAGGAGAAACCCAAGTCGTAAATAAAGAGCAAAACAAAAGTTAGATAATAGAAGGTAGGGAGAAAGATTTTTTTCAAATGAGAAGGGAATCAAGGGATGGAGGGAAGAGGGGAAAGAGGGTGAAAAAGGAAGATGTGTTACGTGCATGTACCAGCTTTGCACAGGAGTATAAACATTCCCCACCACAGACAGGGACTAAAAAATATTAAATATGTACCTATGCCTTCCCTATCCTTATAGTCCTTTTTTTTTTTTTTTTTTGTACCAGGAATTGAACTCAGGACTTTCATCCTTATATTCTGTGGGCCATCTAATCCTACTTCATTTCTTTTTTTTAAATTTTTTTTTTTTTCCAGTACTGGGAATCGAACTCACGACCTTGCGCTTGCCAGGCAGGTGCTGTGCTGCTGAGCTAAATCCCCAGCCCCCTCCTACTTCATTTCTGACTCTTATTCCAAAAGTTTCAAAAACATTTTGTGTAAGCAATTCTAGAATCTTAGGCAAAGGAAACCCTAAAATAAATATACAAAGATTAAGTGTAACAAAATCTGTCTCAGTGATATTTATAACAAGACTTTTAAATTCCAATGATAACAGGTTGCTTAAAACTACAGTACAACCATATAGTAGAATACTGAAAGACTATTATTAGAATCATATTTAGAAGACTAATATGGTAAAATATTAAATGTAGTTTAATAAAGTAGAGAATGTTTCAAAACAATTTAGACAATGTAATCTCATTTTTAGCTTGTAGAATTGTTCATATAGGGGGCTGGGGATTTAGCTCAGTGGCAAAAGCACCTGCCTGGCAAGTGCAAGGTCGTGAATTCGACTCCTGGTACAGGAAGAAAAACAAAACAAAACAAAACAACAACAAAAAAAGAATTGTTCATATATGTAAATATAGAGAGAAAACAGACCACAGTAATTCTTTCTTTCTTTCTTTCTTTCTTTCTTTCTTTCTTTCTTTCTTTCTTTCTTTCTTTCCTTCTTTCCTTCTTTCCTTCCTTTCTTCCTTCCTTCCTCCCTTCTTTTTTCTATCTTTTATGACACAGGGTTTTACTATGCAGTTCAGGCTGGTCTTGAACTGACTTTGTAGTCCAGGCTTGCCTCAAACTCACAGCAGCCCTCCTGCCTCAGCCTCATGAATGCTGGGATTATAGGCGTATGTCACTACGTCTGGCCTTGCAGTAATTTTCTATGACACTATTAACACCAAAACGTTAGTAGTTATTTTTTCCTGGATACGAAATTCTCCACAGTAAATAATATTACTTTTTAAACTGGAAAGAAAGTCAGTGCTATTTAAAGGTCCTTGTTATTGTGCCTTGAGAGTGATTTCCCCACTTGCTCCCCTTCCTCCTGTGGCTTAGAGCTGAATGAGAGCTGCAACAAGCAAGACCTGGCTTCCACAAGAAGTGAAAAGGCACTGGATCTTCTCAGCAAATTTACGTGACTCCAAGGACAAAAAGTACAGTTTCTTTTTTTTTTAATTAAAAAAAAAAAGTACAGTTTCATGCAAGAAACAAAATGACATTTCAAAAATCTAAAGACCAAATCAGACCTGATTTCACTCAGGGAGGAGAAAGGGTTAAATGCTATTCTCGGATCAGAAGGCAAACAAAAAGTGAGTCCGTCAAGGGGGTGG